GATACAATTTTTTTTTCTTCTCAACTTTTGTTCGTTGTTTAGTATTAGTTACTTATCTTAAATTTAAACTTAGTCGCCACGTGTATTATTAACTGTCACTTCTGAAGATGTATGTCGAAACATACGAAACGTCACTTAAGTAAGGTTTACTAATCTTGTTTTCCAACATGCGTTTTACTGTCTTGTTTGTAACTGCATTTTGTGTGCTATTTCTTATCAAGCTACGATGGCCAAAGAGAAAGAATGTTTATGATAAAGGGTTACAAATTTGATTAATCGTGTGCCCTGACATGCATCAAGTCGTTAAAAGGTCACTTTTAGTTCTGGTCCATTATAAATATACGAGTCTTGTGACTCTCCCTTTGCTTACACATGTACTTCAAAGACAGTTAAGATGGTTTTGAATACTTTGCTTTCCTTATTACCCTTACTCTCATGCAATGCAACTGACTATCATAAAGCCTACTTAAAGATGCTATGTCATGACTTACCAAAAACAAACCTTGAAAAATTCGAACACCGATTAAAGCCATCACGTGATATCTTGCTGCAATCGGAGTAATTATTGCTAGGAGTGACGTTAAAAGTACGCCATAACCAAACACGCGAGTACCACCGATTTTAAGTGCTACCCAGGCCCCAGGGATCTGCAAAACCCAGTAACCGTAAAAGAAGGAGCCTAAGACAAGACCTAAAAGCGAACAGAAAAAAGCTAAGTTAGTACATTCTTACAATGTACCTCAGCCGCGCATTTTTTTAGTGTTACCAGAGCCTAGCCGGTTGAAATCGATTATAAAATTGACTGCAAATTTTAACAACCAACGAAGGAAAGAGGGGGAGGAGGGGAAGGCAAGAATTTTACAGATCCCTAATGGGTATCAGGTAAATTTTATTGTAACACAACAAAAATCCTTCTATCCCTCCCCTCCCCGACGATACATAATGACCGATCCTCAAGGGATGTTAAGTTTTAACTTTGGCTCAGATGGACTGCCAAGGATGATACAAGGTTTCATAGTTTTATTCCCTCAAAATATACTTCTATTTTTCAAAGGCCAGAAATCATACCTTGCAGCTTTGAATTCCAGTCAAATTCAGCTTGCTGTGAAATTGATGAATCTGGTTTAGTTTTCGAATTGAAGGAGGACAACACTTACTCAGTTAAATGTAATATCTTAGTTCCTAATTCCACTAAAAAAATGTAGGTGGTGTTGAGAAAAAAAAATTATGCTCAAAATATTGCCAACCAATAGCCCTTTGTCCTGTTTTCCACTTCTTTTTGAGCCTTTGTGGTTACTAAGGTTTTGGTTTTACGATACAAAATTGAAATTTGTTCTTAAAGGACTAACCACCTGTCTCGTAACAGCCTGCGGGAGAGCAGCTTTCTGCGCATGCACTTTACGGCTTGGTGTGCACTAAGTGATGAGCAGCGAAGCCACGAGTAAAACGGTTGTGACTTAAATGGATACTCCAAAATCAGGTTTCCGAGTAAGGACTGGAAATGAATAATTTATTTGTCGGTAAATAATGAAGTAATAGGCAAGAATGGTTCCAGTCCTTACTCGGAAACTTGATTTTGGAGTATCCACTGAAGTCACAACCCGAGTAAAAGACTTTCTTCCGTCCCAAGCCTCTCGCGGCTTGTAGCTTCTGCACACACAAATCCGTCAGCTGCGCGCAGCAATAAAAAAAAGTTGATCAGCAACATAGTGGTGATGTTTTGTGTACCTTAATTATGTTGACTCCTCCCTTAATGATGGTCTGATTGTTCACCATTGCCACAAGCGCCACATTAAGATTGACACGCATGGCGTAGATATTTACAAATCCAATGAAGATCATCAGTAGCAGTACGTATCTTTTTGGGAAGCCGCTGATTTTTGGGGGATTTGGTTGCGATATTTGCTCGTCGTCCGGTGATGACGAAAATTGCTGCTCGTCTGGCTTCGCTGGAATATTTTCTATGTCACTTTTCTGTTGATTCATCCTTGAAAAGTGTTGTTTTCGGCTTTAATTTTAATGAAGAATAATTTCTAGGGCGTGGAAAGTTCAACTTTAGACGCAGTTTTAGGCCGTTTGGCTGATTCCTTATTTAGCGATACCCGGAGTTGTCTGGATTCAAAGCCGATGTACAGGTTCGCACGAGATACTGAATCCTTTCTCGTCAAAATGAGAAATGTACCAAGTGTTTTATACTCTGCTATGAGTTTCAATGATGTGTCCGAACCTGAGAAAAAAATGGACAAAAAAGTATAAAGGGGTAGTTTTTCCGAAGAAACTGTTGGTGCTGCGTCAGTATGAGCTGATGATGGGGACCTTAAGCAAACCACGACGGCGACGGCAACGAGGACGTGGCAAAACGAAAGATCTAATGGGCAGAACAATAGCTCAGCACGTGCGTTTTAAAACTTTGTACATTTCTTAGCCGTCCTTGGCAAAACAACAACGCGAAATCACAAAAATCGGTGCCGTCTGCAAAAGAAAACCGCGACGGAAAATTATTTTAATTTCCATTTGGAACTTAAAGGTGCTTAGATACGTTATACTGAGGTTGAGGTGTGGTGCCTTAAGAGACGGTAACCAAAGGCAGCTATTTTCGAAATTCTAACTTAGATAGAAATTCATTTTTTAATCGACGTCTTCCTCGGCGTTGCCGCCGTGAATGCTTAGGGTTCCCAATCATTCCCTCTGACGAAAGGCTAACGCTCGGAATGTCAACACTTGAAACTGCTTACGTTGTCCAATTTACATTATCACGCAATTTAACTCAGTTGGTTAAACAAAATTATCTTGGAAAAAAGTAGACAAATTGACCTCATACTGTAATAGAACAATTGAACTTACATATTAATAAAGTGGAACTATATGCTGCTACCAAGTGTGCATGTCGCTTATTTAGTATTAGAAAAAAAAAAATCAAAAAGTAATGAAAGAAGTTCATTCAATTGATAACCACAACCCACCGACGCAGCCTCAAACAGTTTCTTTCGAAACTATCAGCCGATAACCACAACCGTTTGATTTCTGTTTAACAGAATATTCTGATATAGCTAGGAAGTTAATGGTTGGGATACAGTCCAAAGATCTCATGCAACTGTTAAGGTTTGGCATAAAGGTCGAGTTCACCAATCCAAGTTACTCTCTGTCAAACTATAACAGTGGCAAAATAAGAGATTCATTTAAAGAACTGCAGGCGTCAGATCGATTCAGCGGTGAAAATTTCCTTTTTGAAGACTAGCTTATGACAAGTCAGTCGGATCAATTGATCGTACCACCGGTAAAGCGAGAAACACTAACAAACGTGAATTGGCGGGATAAAATGGGGATGGGTAATATTTATGAACATCTGAGACCAAATCAAACTTTAAATATAGTTTAAATCTTTAATCGTATGAGCAAATTGGTTAGTCTGTGTCGTATCGGTATTATCGGGTCGAAACCCCGAAAATGTCGTTGAAAACTTTGATTCGGTTTGTGCCTTAATTTTTTTCAAGCCAAATTGATGAAAAAAATGAAACAATTCCGATTCCTTTACGATGGAAAATTACATAACAGTTTGCCAAACGACTAACAAAAAATTTTCTGAAAAATTTTCATAAAAACGAAAAAAAAAGAAAATAATAATAACACTCACCGCAAAATGTTCAGCCGTAGATTTCGGTAATTGTTGGTTTCAAGTTGACCTTGACGCAACAGGTGACAAATAGATTTGTTTTACATAGAGTACCCAGAAGAAAGTACTCTCTGGACATTTAGCCTGGCCACAATTCGATCAGAGCGTTGAGAACAGCTCATTTAGCACACAGACGGAATGTTATGTTTTAACTTTCCCACGTTTAGGAATGCATGCATTGTAGGCTGGAGTATATATAGCTATATCACCTGACGACAGGTGGTTGACAGGTTGCACTATGCTATACCATATCGTTTCGATTCGAGGGATGCGCCCCACACCACATTCTTATTCTGAGGGTTTCGCTGATCTAAAGTAGCCCGTTTAGCAGCAAAAACATCCTTTTTTTCGTGTTCGCGTAAGAATTTCTAGCACGATTCCTGCGTCCGAGTTTGCGTATTGATGTAGACACCACACTCTCGGCAATCTCCGGCTGAAGCGTGCGTTTCTACGAAGATAATTTACGGTTGAAAGGACATCTAAGGGTTCTCTAATCATCATGTGAGCAGAGAAGCAAGACTCGGTGCTGATCAATTGTCAGTTGCCAAAGCTGGCATTTCAAAATCGATCATAACATGTTTATACCAAAATCGGGGCGATTTACGGCACTTGAAGCTTAAAAGGGGCATGCATTTCAGCTTGGTTACCTAGATAAACCGTGAACACGACATGACCTCCCGGTTATCAAGACCTACAAGATAAGAGTGTTTGATGGGAAACTTTTCAGCCCCGTAATCAAGGGGCCATGTTTACCACAGGCAACCTAAACTCGTGATACGAAACGAAATCAGTTTACGAGCAGAGTGATGTGCCATAAAGACGCTATTTACATGGTGTTTCCATGGGAACTCGTTAATCCTTCAGTTTTCCTTTAAAGTACGACATGTAATTTTTTAATAAATCTTTTTCTGTCGCTTTGCTATATTTTCTTTTACTGGCTGCTCGCCTTGTTAGCCGTTAGGAGCGATCTCAACCGTTCAGCGCCATTTACTGTTTTGATGCTACAGTGGAAGAGGCAACGAAATTAACTGAAACACGGCTTACTCATCTAAACTGGTTCTAACACCACGCTAAGCAGAGATTCACGTTTCGCATGAAAATTCACGGCGAACTTGCAAAGGAGATTGCGGGTGAACATTGAACAGGGCGAATTCATCAGAACAGGGTTAAAATCGCAGCTAGCCGATAAAGCTGAAATTTCTCACTTGAACAGATGACATTCCCGCCGAATGAGAATCGCTTGAGCACATACGACTCAACCGGCGTTAGTCTACTCGCCCCAGTTTTTCGCGGAAAACAATTCAGCTAAACAAAAATAGGAATGAAGTTGAAGTGTTTATGTTATGAGTTCATCGTCACCGTAATCTATTCTTTTTCATCATGTCGAAATCTTTAGTAGACTTGTGCATGTTTTGTATAGCCAACAACCTCGAAAATATCAAGCGAGCTGGATCATCATTGTGCAAAAACGACAAAGAACTTCTTCTAGAATTGCTTTGCGACCATGATATGTTTACAACGAAAAGGCTTCCATTTGTAACAAAACAGCTTCTTTCACCCAGCTTGACCAACATTGCTTTTGGTTATTCAGGTCAAGTGGACGATGCATTGCTCCAAAAGTTAGCTCTCTCCCGTTGCAAACTGAGTTCATTTGTTCTAAAGAATTGCCCGCAGGTTTCAGGTAAGAAAAACTAAATTCGCTGAAATTCAGAGGTGGAATCCAATGGAATATGCTGCACTGCATGGCGCGTTTAAAGTATCCCTGTGTTTTGTGTTATTTCACAGTATATTAAATACGTGAAAATTTTTCAGCAAAAGATTTAACTCCGTCCTGATTTGTCATGATCGTCCAGTAATGAAGGGAACCTGGTCTCGTTGGGTTTTCGACTGACATTAGAAAGAGAAAAATTTTGATTTTAATCGATATCCTAAATGAAATTATTAATTAAGAAGGGAAACTTAGTTACATGTAATTGTCTCTAGTATGTTTCGAGGTTTGAAGTTGCACCTTAAGGGACTATGAAGAAGATTTTGATGTCAGTCGAGATCGTCAAAATACCATTAATTTTGTTGCATCTGGTTGCAACATAATCGGGAACTGTTAGATAGCGACATTATTAATTACATACAATGAAGGTGGTGAACATTGTTCGCCAGTTGAAAAGGTGCCGAGTGCAAGAAGATTTTGTCATTGTTTCATCATTGTGACAGGGAAAGTGATTCCCTTCAAGGTGAATGTGCAGTAGTAGACGAGACATTATTATAAAGGGAGTTTTTCTTCGGAGTGATTTTATCAATGAGCATCGATCGATCATCATGAAACCGTACGGCGTGATGCCTCTCACTGTGTACCTCAAAGTTTATAACGCGCTGACAGAACTTTGAACTTGCAAAATTTTAAGCATTTTAAGGCTCCACAACAGGTCATGGGGCAAGTTGCGAATTGTAAATTTGCCTTGCAACTGGCTTGGATTAGTTTTTTTTTTCTAATATTTTACCTGCAATGAAATTTTGTCCTTGCAAAGCACACACACAGTTATTTGTTCTGCAGACCTGTTGCAGTGACCTGAAGGTAATAGTCTGCCCTGGCTTATACGTATCTTGAATCAAAATCACCAGATGTGGATCATCTAAAGGAATACACCCTTATCCCATTTAGTGTGGTGCTTCTTCAAGTCTTCATTTCCGTTGTCTTTTGTTTTTTTTTCTTCCTTCCATTTTCTCAATTAAGTTAATTGGTATACTTCCTTTTGATCTTGTCTGGAAAGATGTACAAGGTGGATGTTACTCAATATAGGGGGCTGACAGGGAGATAGGAATTATCTGATTAGCTGAATTTTTATCAAGATCTGTGAGTCTCTCATTATTTTTATTCGTCTGGATCTGAGTCAGATGAAACTTTCCCACGGTATAAACTAATTGCATACAGTCAAGTGTTTATGACTTGTACTTTTTGCTTCATTTCCAGAGTCCATAGATTTCACTTTAAGTTTTTTTAGGTTATAGACTGGTGTTTGAGAAAGCAAAAATTAAAGTAGACAGCAAATCCAACTGAATTGTTAAGCTGATATGGTCAGGAAAGGTTGTCTAACTTTCTCTAAATTCTGAAGAACTAAGTTGGCAAAACACCAACACAGTGACAGCGGATGAAGCAGATGGCTGATTAAAAAATGTGACTTGCAGTTTGAAGTTCTAGACAGAATCTGGTTTATATCCAAGCTGAAATTTTCAAGTCAGAGATTAATATTGACCCATGGTGTTTTTTTTTTAGGCAATCTGTGAGTTTTTTTAATAGAATGCAAACAGGTTTCATGATTAACAACTATTTACTAAAATGGACGTGGCTAGAAGTAGAAATTCATCAAGCCACAAAGTGGCAAGGTAAATGCATGTCCATTGCCAGCCACTGACACAAAGGTAAAAAATAATTGTTTTAGTACACACTAAAACAGTGAGATAAGATAGCACCAAAAGATGATTTTATTTAACTCATTTATTCCTGCAATGATTGCAATATTTTTCGCCCAAATCCTGCATTTGTTGCCTCAAGGTGCATAGCGAAGGACATTTATATTTGTTGTTTGAGTATAGCCAATCAGAGCATGCCTCAAATTCTTTTGGCTGTTTTATATATTACTTAAGTGTAATGGATTTTTAACTGTTGCTGTTTTCTTTTCAGATAAGGGATTGTCTTCCCTCCTCAAGACACAAACAGATTTGGAACTTCTACATCTTAAACTTAGTTCTTATCATAGCCATCTCACTGACAAGTGTTTATCAACACTGCGGTCTTCAAAATTAGTATCAGTCAAATTAGATCATATTGATCAGCTGAGCAACAATGGAATTATAACCTTGGCAAAGAACTGTCCAAATATTTGTGAACTGATGCTGCCACGGTGCAAAGGACTTAATGATAATTGTATTGAGACTGTTACACGTACACTTTTGAAAGGAAAACTGGTAAGTTGTGTGATTACCTGGTTTTACTTGACTTATACGTATAGTAACATTGTAATACAAATGTGATATAGAGATTGGATGATTGAGATGTCAAATGATCTGTGATTGACCAAGATAGAAAAACTCCTCTTGATATCCATGCAATATCAAGCAGAACAGTAATAAGAACAAAAAGTAAATTACTAATAAGGAGATTATTAGTTGATCTAATACCAAATTCTCAGAACTTACTGTATGTGAATTATATGACAGGCTGTGAGGAGAATTACTATTATGATCTTGAAGGTGAAAGGGTTAGGGAAGACTGGTAATTATCTGAGTGTACTGTTAGCTTAGTGTATTCACAGAAGTGTTAGCTATTATAATTATCTGATTCATGGGTTGAATGAAAAAATTGAGAAACCAACCATAGCCAGGGCTACACTTTGTTATAAAACAACAGCAACAATAATTTTAAAAAAAAAAAAAACTCAGCTAACCTGCTGAATAATGCAATGACAGTGCATGCTTAATTATAAGGTATACAGTCCAATTACACAGGCATGATATGAAATTATGCCCTGTCCAATTACAAGGAAGATGTATACACTGTACTATACACTGAATCAAAATTAATGGCGTCCAATTTGAGTTGCCATTGTTCTGGACTCACTAGCCTCTCACACATGTGATAATCCTTTTGTGTTTCCATGCGAAGATGAGGCTAGTGAATCCAGAACAATGGCAATTCAAATTGGATGCCATATTTTGAGTCATTGTATTTATTTAGTGCTCTAATTGGGCTGGTGATTACCAGTCACATTCAAGAATTTTGTTTTGGTTAAATTTCACTTTTGAACAATAGTTTTGTGTAACTGAATTAATTATCTAGAGTTTCCCTCTTTGCTAATGAGTTTTGTCCTTACCAGGAAGTACTGGAGCTCTCTGAAATACATCTGTTGACAGATCTTAGCCTGTTTGCCATTGGTTCTGGTGATTGTCCCAAGCTCAGAGAGTAAGTTATTTCACCCTTTTGTGTGATTAAATAATATAATAAATAATAAATAAATAATTTAGCAATGAACATCCACTGGGTGGCTATTCTTGTCCACTGTTCCTGATCGAATTGGAATTTGGAATGTTGATTAGCATCTAATTCTCATAAAATATCACCCCTGAATCAAACATCTTGGTCACAATTAAGGATAACAAAAATGTTTGCCAGCTAAAAAAGCTCAAGGTTGATCGTCAAACAAATTCTCCTCGTCAGCACCATAGGAAATGTGTAGAGAACAATTTATGCAGAATTAATGCACACTGATGGCATGGTGTAAATGGTTGATACCAACAGTAACACCATTTTATTGTGACCCCATGAGAGAAAAAAATAAGCTAGGATTAACGTAAGCAATGTATAATGAGGAGTATTCAACAGTGGCAAAACAAGATGTGACCCTATTGAATTGGCTATCAAATATTGATCAGAAAAGACTTTGTTGACTCTTTAACTCCCAAGATCTGATTGTTAATTCTCTCCTCTATCTGCTACTAACACATTTCCATGTGATAACAATGTCTTCCTATTAGTTTGAGTAAATTTCATTAATGCGTGGATATTTTAGGGAGAAATTCCATTTTAAATCACTATGATTCTGCTTATTATCTTCCTTTTCAACATTTTGAGAGTCCTCCCACATAGTTCAGTCTTTCTTAATGGGTTAGTCATTCTCTGCATTCTAATTAATGCATGGTTATATTCCTGTGCAATGAATGTTGTTTCCATTTTTGTTGTCATGTTACAGACTGCTTCTTGTTGGTTGCAATATGATTTCAGGAGCTGGACTACTACAGGTACAATAGAAACCATCATTACCCAACAGCACCCAGTAAATTTGAAAAAATAATGCAGAAGTCAAGTACAAATATATCCTGCTGTATTATATGAAAAAATAATGCACAAGCTAAGTACAAATATCCTGCTGTATTATATGATCATTTGGACAGTTGGTTTGATATTTTGTACAGTTGTAAAAGAGCCTGTTTGATATGGGGCGCCAAATGTATTTTTATTATTTAGAGTGGTTATTTGTATATAACCAAAACAAGTATGGTTATATGTAAATAACCACATTGCAGTTTGGTTATTTATAAATAACCAAAACGAGATATTGGTTATTTATAAATAACCAAAACATGAATGTGGTTATTTGCTAAATAACCAAAATTGTTAAGTGGTTATTTGCTAAATAACCAAAACTGAAAATTGGTTATTTGTAAATAACCAAAACTGAAAATTGGTTATTTGCTAAATAACCAAAACTGAAAATTGGTTATTTG